TGCGCATGCGCAGAGGGATAACTGGCAGATTTTGCTGTCAGTTCGAGGTAAAAACTCATCAGCGAAGGCGGACGTGCTGGCGAGTAAAATAGAAGAAGTATTCCCGACATCTGGAACAATTAGGGTTGCCCGCCCCTCACGGATGGAGGACATCCGTATAAAGGGGATGATGGCTTTTGTCAGTCGTCAGGAGGTCCTCAACAGGGTTGCTTTGGACGGAGGCTGCAGCACTGAAGAGCTCAGGGCCGGGGAGATCCGACTCTTCCCTGGGTCGGGTTTCGGTACCTTGTGGGTCCGCTGTCCTGCTGGAGTGGCGCGTAGGCTCGCTGTTGCTGGAAGAATTGTGATGTCGGAGGGGTGGGGGAAAGGCTAGATGTTGTTCATCTGGCCCGCCGCCCCTTGCAATGTTATCGGTGCCACGAGTTTGGCCACTCGGCCAATGTTTGTGTTGCCGATACTGATCGCAGCGGCTTGTGTTATCGATGTGGTGGCTCGGGGCACAGGGCGGCCAGTTGCGTGGCGCCGCCCCGATGTCTTTCGTGTGCGTCCAGGGGGAAACCCTCTGGACATCGTTGCGGGTCGGCTGCATGCGCTCGCGTGCGCGTCCCTCCCAAGAGGCGTCGGGAGGGTACGCCTTCTTCCGAGCGCGCGCAGGCTCCGGGGCGTCCTGATGGGGGATCTCCCGAGAGCCCGGAATGGACGGTGGTAGACTGTAGTCGGGGGCGGGGGAGGTCGCGGAGAGGCGGCTCCCCCGTCCCGGGCTGCAGTACTGCCCCCGATGTTTAGTGTCTGTCTTTGCTTGTCGTAGTGTGTAGCGGTGGGTGCGGGGAGTTCTGGGGAGGTTGCCGAAAGGTGACTCCGTGGTCTCCCTGCCCCGCCAAGTTTATGTTGTAGGTTGCGGCGATGGGTGATGGAGTGCCGGGGAGGTTGCCGAGAGGTGACTCCGCGGCCTCTTCACCCTACGCCAAGTTTATGTTGTTTATAGTTTCATTGTCTTTTGTCATAGGTGGGAGTAACAACCCTCCCACCTTTATTGTGGTTGGCCATAGTGCCTTGTTGTGGGCCCCTTGGGGGCTGGGCCTGTGGCCCTTACTATGTATTAATGTGGTTTGTGTACATGTTTCGTGCACGTTATGTACTGTAATCGTCCTGTGACGTTTTGTGTGTGGGTGGGTGACTGCGGTCACCTCACTTACCGGTTGACAGAGAGAGGGGTGGGGGCCCCGCTCTCATTGCACGTCGACCCTGGGAAGTCCGGGGGAGCTAGTAGCCCGGCTCCCCTCGATGCCCTTTCGGGGCAAGGGATGTCCTCTCCGGGGGGATACCTGTAGTATCCTCTCGGGGGATGTGTCCTTCCTAAAGGACGCCGGTCGGGTGTCCACCGTGAAGTAATGCTTACGCGGTTCCGCGGTGGACAATACCCATATGACCAGGGGCTTCAGTCAGGTTTTAGGTCGGTCCCCCGCCCGATAGTCCCTCGGGATACTACGGGCGGGAATCCACCACGAAGCCTCCTGACCCTCCCTCAGGGGTCAGGACGGCGAAGTTTGGTTTAGGCAAATTTCCTGACTTAAAAAAAAAAAAAAAAAAAAGGTAACTAAATAGAGGCCTTAAAATAATAAATAAATTAATAATTACATTTAACGTTTAAATGAAAAAGAAAAAAAAATTTATTAAAAAAAAAGTATTAACAGAATAAAATTATATATATGTATATATAAAAAAATTAAAAAATAATTTTAAAAAATATATATATATATAGATTTCTTTTTCATAATAAAACATTAAAGAATCATTATCTAATCTCAAATTACAATATCTCATTAATGAACGTAAAATTAGCTATTTAAAATCCATAAAAAGAAGCCCCGAGTTAAGAATATCTATATAATTAACAAAGTAGCCCTCTTTTCGATAATAAAAAATATTTTAAAAAACACAAGACTTAACATTACAATATCTTAATTTAAACATTACAATAATCAAAATATTAGTTATCGCAATTGCGATTTAAATTATTTAAAAATTAAGAGTTTGGTTCAAAATTTTAAAAAAATTTACAGAATACTCATCCTTTCTATAAAAAATATTAGAAAAAACGATTTGAATGAACATAATTTACAATATGTAAATAATGACCCTAAAGTAATCATAAAATTAATTATCACAATTAACGATATAAACTCTTCAAAAAGTAAAAGAGCCTGGTAAAAATTATAAAAGATATTAGCAGAATAGCCCTCTTTTTGATACTTAAATATATACTGAAATAAAAATCATGATCTTATGTTCATTTAAAGTATCTACATGCTAACTTTAAAGTAATGACAGAATTAATTATCGCAATTAGCGATCCAAATTTTTAAAAAGTGAATAGGACGTTAAAAATATTACAAAATATTAATAGACTAGTTTTCCCCTCGATAATAAATATATTCACAAAACACATGATTAAACGTTACAATATCAAATAGAGACTCTAAAATAACAAAAAATGTTTTATCGTATTTAACGGTTTAAACTTTTTAAGAAATAAAAAAGCTTGGTTAAACATAGAAATATCACAATAACCGTCTCTTCCATAATAAAAAATATTACAAAACACGTGACCAAACGTCTAATTAAGTTATCTAAATCAAAACTTTAAAGTAAGGACATAATTAGTTATCGCAATTAGCGATTTAAACTTTTTAAACAATAAAAAGAGCATGGATAAAAATATAATAAAAATGGGAAAATGTCTTTTCAAATGGTCAGTTTAATAATAAAAAATATTAAAAAATGAGTGTCAATATTTTAAAATTTGAAAAAATTAATTATCGCTTTATATAAGGGCCGATTTTTTCAACTTCTCGATAAGTTTTACCTGATAGGTAACATATTTTCGTCTCTTTTCAGATAAGTTCTAAAAAAAGAGACAAAGATATGCTACTTGTCGGGTAAAACTTATCAAGAGTGGAACAACCGGCCCTAAATTACTGAACATCTCTCATCTTTCTCTCTGTATATGTATATATGTCATGGTGTATGTACATTCGTGCGTTATGTAAAGTAGTACTACATTCTGGGTGCGTTCCGTTATGCACTGCAAGTACTGACAGTACTACCAATAGCGTTCCGATATAGATAGCAGTGCACTGCGAAAGTACTATCATGAGTATATGACGTCATTAATTTTGACGTTATTTCCTGTTGCGATTACTGCAACCGGCGAGGTAAAGCACTCGCAGTAATCAAGATGGCTACCTCCATGTGTACGATGGAACTAACTTTTAAATTCCATATCTGAATATAATGATACAATATTTTTAACGTAATTTTACATTTTATTCTAGGTATTTTAATTTGTCGTCTCATTTCATTTATTAATTCCATTTCCAAATCGCTTTCACTTGATGACTCACTCGAATCATATATATTCTCGATTAAATTATATGTAATTAATGCAATAATGGTATTATCCATTTCACCATTTTTCACTCGATGATTATTAGCGAAAAAGGTTAGTTAAAAGTCTGCTGAAAGCGTACTGTAGTGCGTTCCGTTTTACTATTTTGCAGTAGCTTCAAAGTGCACAAAATTAAAAAGGAACGCTGTCAACAGTACACTTGCATGACGTCATAGTGCCAGTACTTGCAGTGCATAACGGAACGCACCCATAGATAGCAGTGCACTGCGAAAGTATTATCATGAGTATATGACGTCATTAATTTTGACGTTATTTCCTGTTGCGATTACTGCAACCGGCGAGGTAAAGCACTCGCAGTAATCAAGATGGCTACCTCCATGTGTACGATGGAACTAACTTTTAAATTCCATATCTGAATATAATGATACAATATTTTTAACGTAATTTTTACATTTTATTCTAGGTATTTTAATTTGTCGTCTCATTTCATTTATTAATTCCATTTCCAAATCGCTTTCACTTGATGACTCACTCGAATCATATATATTCTCGATTAAATTATATGTAATTAATGCAATAATGGTATTATCCATTTCACCAATTTTTCACTCGATGATTATTAGCGAAAAAGGTTAGTTAAAAGTCTGCTAAAAGCGTACTGTAGTGCGTTCCGTTTTACTATTTTGCAGTAGCTTCAAAGTGCACAAAATTAAAAAGGAACGCTGTCAACAGTACACTTGCATGACGTCATAGTGCCAGTACTTGCAGTGCATAACGGAACGCACCCTCTGTATTTATTTTACTTCATGGTCTATGACTTCTGACGTAACTTTTATACCACGTGACGATTCGTTTCCGCTCGTACGTGAGGTATAAATTGAGTGATACTAGTTGCGAGAGTGCTCGACTTAAATTTGTCTGATTAGTATTACATATATGCACAATGTTATTATTTATTTTACATGTACCATTTATAGAATTTTTTACAAGTAATTTCTAATTATTTTCTAATTATTACAGGTAAATTTTTTAACCTTAATCTTACATACTTATAATGCACAACTTATTTTTTGATTCATTATTAATGATTTATTTAACATTTAATGCTATATTAATTTGAATGTCTTGTTTTTATTGCAAATATTTATATATACACATACAGATATTATTTTACATTTTATATAGTAATATGATTCCAAACTAACCTAAAATTATACTAATTTAGTTACATTTTATTGAGTACGTATTTTATAACATTTATATATATATATAATGGAAGAAAAAGAGTAAAACAAACATAACTTATTAATAAATAACTTATTATTCTTTCTAGAGGTTTATTCTTTTATTTTTAATTTATTTACATCATTGTTATATATATCAATTACTTATATTTCATTATATTTGCCTCGTAACAGATTGAAACTAGTGATGGGAGAGAAAAATTGGAAAGACTGGAGACCTTTCATATATGGGGGTTTAGCTTCCATTGTTGCAGAACTTTGTAAGCGAATAAGTATATCTGATATAATATATTTTTTCTTGTACCATTAGTTTGAACTTTAAATAAATGTATAATAAATTTTGCATTTCTTTTTTTTTATTACAGGTACTTTTCCTTTAGATACAACTAAGACACGTTTGCAAGTACAAGGCCAAAAGTATGATCAAAAACTTGCACGTTTAAGATATTCCGGTATGACAGATGCTTTATTACAAATATCCAAGCAAGAAGGAATGAAAGGTTTATATTCTGGGTAAATATTTTTGCATAGAAACTAATGTTATTTTATAAATATAATTGTTATTTAAAAATTAAGATTCTCCAATTCTTTATTTTAGACGTTAGTACTTCGTTTTCAATTTTTTTAGTTGAAAGGAAATTGTTTGAGATTTTATTTAAATGTAAAAGAATAGTACAAAAAGTTTAATCTCTTTTTATAGAATTATTAATATAATAACAATTTTTTTTATGATTTAGGATTAGTTCTGCAATTTTACGACAAGCGACATATGGAACGATAAAATTTGGCACTTATTATTCTCTTAAGAAAGCTGCAATTGATACCTGGGCAATGGGTGACTTAGTCACGATAAATATTGTTTGCGCAGCATTAGCTGGAGCTATTTCAAGTGCAATTGCCAATCCTACTGACGTGGTAAAAGTTCGTATGCAAGTCACTGGCAGTGATACAAATATATCGCTATTTACTTGTTTCCAAGATGTATACAAACATGAAGGTATCCGTGGACTTTGGAGGGTAATTTATATTTTTTTAATATATTTCATTGCCTAACACACACTTATTTTAAATATCGAGTTTTAAAATAAGAATCGTGAAGTACATATGGATATTTAAAGTCGACCCAAGGTATATCATTATTTTATTGTGCTGCATAATATAAATAATTTTTTGTCGCATGTTAAAAAAAAATTTAACTACATTAATTGTGATTTATTACAATAAATCACAATTTTTACTTATTTTCCTTAGTATGCACGAATTTTAAGAAAAAATAAGTATGTTTACAAACACAAATTTTGATTATTTTTATATTGAATTGAAAATTATAATTAGAAACATATTTATCATGCAAAGTTTGCAATTAAAATATGATCAAATAGCTACTATTATTGCTTCAAAACATTATTTGCATATATCTCTTTTTTTACACCAATCTTATTGATAACTGCATTTTACTGCATAGCCATTGTGTGTATATGTGTGTGTATATTTATTATCAAATATATACATATAGATAAATAAAGTTTTATAAATTAAATTTACATAAAGAATGAATAAAGTTGGATTTTTTATAGGGTGTTGGGCCAACTGCTCAACGAGCAGCTGTTATCGCTGCTGTAGAATTACCTATATATGACTATACCAAGAATAAATGTATGAGCGTATTGGGAAACAGCGTTAGTAATCATTTTATGTAAGTTTTTCTTGTCATTAAATGTATTAGATAGATATTACTTCTATGCAAAATATTTAAAAAATTTTTATCGACTATTGCTTATATATAAGCTTATAAACTATTTATTATATATTAAATTATACCCGTTTTAACAGAGAAACTATTACAGAAGCAAAATTTTTTATCTCTTTCCACAAATATTGTTTTTAAATGACATTTTTAATGACATGAATGGTATTTATTACCTTGTTAATTATCAGTGTTGATTAACCCTTATCTGGACAGCTAATGTCTCTATTTCTCTTCTAACAAAGCTGTCTCGATTTATAGCAAAAATTTTATCCACACAACTTAAAAATTACAGCTGGTTTGGTTACTTTTTATAACGTATAGTACGTGTGCATGTGTGTTTGTGTGAAAAAGTATTTATTATAAATTATGTTACTACATGTGTATTTATAAAAAACTTCATTAATCACATAAATGATTATTCAATAAGAAAAGTTACAGTAGAAAAATAATTATCCATATTAATTTTTTTTTTTTTTATTTTTGCTTATTTGTGATGCAATCTGTTATTAAATTGATATCAAAAAGATTTTTTAAGGCTGTTGTAAAAGATTTATTATATAAAAATTGAAAAGAATTCAGAGAAAAAGTCTCAAGGATAATGTTTGTATTTAAAATTTTTTAAATAATTCTTAATTTTTTTAAGCATGCCTTCAAGAAGTACATATTGAATCATCAGAATCATATATATTTCCTATCAAGTATGAATTTTGTATATATGCTTAGAAACAATTCTTAAACATAAATATAATTCTCATTATTTTATTTGTATAACTTCTAAACTTTTCACATACGAATTCTCTCCTATCCCTCTTTTCTCTCTTTTTCTTCTTTCTTCCTTTTTGACTTCTTTTTTTGATTGTTTAGACATTAATGATACATATATTTTACTGTGATATCTTTATTTATATAGCACATACGTATTTTAATTTATTATCGTATGCATTATTTTTCGAAAAAATAAAATGTTAATCTTTTTATGTGATTTCTCAATCTACTTATGTGTATCAATATTCATCAAATATCAAATGAGATGATTAAAATACTCTTGAATTTTCCTAAATAACAATAAGAGTTTATACTTATTTCCAATATATTTTTCTCAAACTCTTTTCATATTAAATTAATTAATTATATTTACTAACAAATATTCGTCAAATTTCTTTCTGATTCAAAAATTAATATATCTTTATTTTGAAAAAGATATTGCTAATTTGTTAAATTTAATTTTTCATATCTGTGATTCGGAAAACGGTGATTAAAGAAATATATTCCACTTATTGCGCGTTATCGCAGAAGGAGTAAAACTCTCCTAAAATTCAAATTTTATTTCCAGGTCCTTTGACATTGTCGTTGCGTATGGGCACATGCGATAGATGGATTTTGAGATGACCAGAGAAGCTTGACACGCGCGCGGAAGCTGTGTTCAGCACTCTGTGTTTAATACAAGAATTATTAAGACAATCGTCCACATACAGATGATTATACATGTTAATCTACTTTGTAAAGACTCATTGGTTAGCATTTATGCATTTTAAAGCTTTGGAGAAATGCCCAAGTTATACTATTAACGAACTATACACCACACTTTTTAATTTTTCTATCATAGACAAAATCTCTTTTGCCAACACTTTTATTTCTACTCGTATTTAGAAACGTACTTGATCGAAATATTGGCTATCATCGCGCTTAGAGAGAGAGAGAGAGAGAGAGAGAGAGAGAGAGAGACATGATATTAAATTTATATTTCTATAATGCCTGGATAAGGGTTAATTTTGCCCGATAATGTAAAATCTCTCTATTATGTTATATAAAAATCTCAAAACGGATCAAATTGAAATTCCACGAATCGAAGCGCCACGCGCGTATTATAAAACATTTAAAAAATATTTTTATAAAATGTTATTTAACATGTACTTTTAGATATTACATACTGTACATATAATCTATATGTAATATAATTGTACGAATGCCATTTAATCTTTTAGATCGAGTTTTGCAGCTAGTATGGGAAGTGCTGTAGCTTCAACACCTATAGATGTTATTCGCGTAAGTTTTATACTTGTGCAATGTGTGTGTGTGTGTATGCGCGCACACACACACACACACACACACATATATATATATATATATATATATATATATATAAAAATACGCATACACACACATACCATATATGTATCTTTTCTTTTCTTTAGACACGATTGATGAATCAAAGGAGAGTGCACATCCCGGGCAATAAGCTCTCGTCACACATTTACAGTGGCAGTATAGATTGCTTACTTCAGGTATAGAGCTTTATTCAAGACATACATTTTTTATACATATTTACGTTTCTTATAATTACATATACATATACGTGTATATTTTGCATCAGTAACAGAAGCTATAGAGACTAAAGAGTCAATTTTGAGATTCTACCTAATAATTTGTAGTCTTTTATAAAATGGTAATTTTATTATAACTTTTCTTTATAAAGTAATCTTTTTTGTAAACAATTTTACATTATATTTAAAGCTTTATACTATATATTTTCTATATTTATAATGCATACATATATATTTGTTTCAAAATGTATATCATATATTTGTTTCTAACACGTATTTATAATAATTATTTTTGTTTCATATAGACGATTAAATATGAAGGAGTTTTAGCACTGTACAAAGGTTTCGTCCCGACGTGGTTTAGAATGGGACCATGGAATATTATATTTTTTATTACTTACGAGCAATTAAAACGTTTTTGATGTATCATCAAATATATCGAAATATTCGGATTTTTCGTAAAAAATTTGAAAACAGGTTTTAATGTAAACATTGTTGTGCATATGTTTACAATCTCACTTGTAATCTCACAATCAGTCATTTATTGTCAGTATAATTTAAGCGTGAAAGTAATGTGTTAATTAATTATTTTAATGCAAATATAAAATAAGTAATACAAATACTTACTTAAAGTATACAAACAAATTAGAATACTTTTCAACCTTCTCTATTGATATATTATAATTAATATATTTTGTAGTGAAATAGATATATACATATGAGAAAAAAGTAATTGGAAAAGTCCAAGAGCTTCCGAAAGTACAAGCTTCCAAAAATCTTGGTAAATTATTATATGGAAAAAACATCTTTATAGAATTTATTATAAAATTTATTCTCTTAGTGTTATTTACAAATAGTATTCTTCTATATTTCAAAATTTTCATATATCATAAATTCGAGTCTATACTCAATAAGAACTCTTTAAAAAAAAGTATATTAATGAATATTGGTAATCCACATTAAATTGCTCCATATAAAAACAAAAGTTTAAAATTTCAGATAGTTTAAAATATCACAATATTTTCTACAATGCTAGTCATTTTTCATCTGTTATTAATATATTTAATATAATTATTTGTTGTAAATATATTTAATAATTTTACTTTCAGTATTTTTAGCATTTATTGTCATATTTTTGATACAAATGCTAGTCATTTTTTTATGATATTCTCGCATAAAATTATAATATAAAACGTGCGATCTTATAAAAATTTATTATTAATTATTTTGTAAATCTTATCGACATTGAAATTAAATATTTTGAGTGATTGATTTAATTTCATTTAAATTTTAATCTGCGTATGTTATATATTATTATATTGTGAGCATATATATAAATCAATTTTTTCATGCGACAAATATACAAACATATGACACATGTTATAAGTATGACTTTGTTGCTTTTAGTTTTTTCTAAAATAAATTATACCTATATATATATATATATATATATATATATATATATATATTTAAAATAGAATACTATAAAATATGTATGTTATGTATTTAATATTATTTTTAATTTGTAATGCAAATTTCTTATTTTGCAACACTCATGCATAAATTCATCATTATGCAGGAGATTTTATTTTAATCGCTCCCGGCAAATATTTCGAAAAATATTAGAGATACGAAAAATGTTTCGAACAAAAGTTTTTTAACATCGAAGAGGAATAAGATGGTGTCATTAGTTTGACCTTGGATAATCGTTTGTAGGTCACATAAAGGTCACCTTAAATTTCTTAAATTGAATTACCTATTTTTCATTACATATATTCTTGTGGCTTATCTGGAGAGCTTTCCACTGCAACAAGACATTTTTTTATTAAGTATTTTTTGAATTATAAAGGGTTGAAGTTGACAATTTTTGACATAAAATGTAAAATATCTTGTAAAACATTTAGTTTTTGGTAATCTTACCTTAACACTTTTATGTGCGGAATAATGAGACCAAATAATTATTTTTAAAAAAGTATGTAATATGCAACAATGCAACTGTGTACTTTTTTCAAAAACAACTATTTGTTTTGTTTATACCAATTAATTGATCTCATATTATTCCGTGCATAAAAGTATTAAGGTAAGATTACCAAAAACTGAATATTTTGCAAGATATTTAACATTTTATGTCAAAAAATTGTTAATTTAAAACCTTTATTACTCAAAAAGTACTTAACGAAAAAAATATTTTATTATAGTGTTTTGGAAAGTTCTCGAAATAAGCTACAAGAATATGTAATAAAAAATTGGCGGTTTCACTTAAGAAATTGACGGTGACCTTCAAATGACTTCAAGATCAAATCATTGCCACCATCTGATGGCCTCCTTCAACTTTTGTTGGAAGTATATTTTCGTATCTCTAATATTTTTCAAAATATTTGCCTGGAACTATTAAAATAAAACACCCTGTATATTTAAATATGCGATATTATAGTATAGTTTATATTAAATTATTTATTTCTTTGTTAAGGTAGGACTCTGGTACACTTAAAAATAAAGAAAAATTTAAATGTAATGTCATATCACACGCAGCATGCGCGCGCGCGCGCACACACATTTATATATATGTATGAATATGAATACACGTACGTATCACATAAATTACATTAAAATTTTAATGTCAATGTAAAAGAGTTTATTTGAAAAAGTTCTACATTAAAAATCTGATATATTCAACTATGTAATTTTTCCTTATACTCGACAGAAGATATATATATATATATATATATATATATATATATATATTAATCATGTACATGCGTATTAAATCTTGTTTTCTCAAAAAGGAGAATACTGAAAAAAAAAAAATATATATATATATATATATATACATATATAATTTTCTTCTTTAAAAATACTTTGTTATAACGAAAAAAGAATTATCTCGTCCATTTTATGAGCAAATAAATTTTTTAACTTTGAATATCCGATTATCCTGACAAGACACCCAGCAGTGCTCAAACTTTGAAGCTGAAAATCATATTTGTTTTTATTTTTCTTTGCTCGCTCATCTTGTTTTCGATTAATTTTCAGAAAGATTTATACAACTATAAACAAAGATAACAAGTCCTATTTTACTAATAGAAATTAACCGGTCCGACATCTTTGTTTATGAAAAAATATTGTATATACCATGTATAACAAATAAGAAAATAATAACATATAAAACATATACATATATTATATTCCCTCTTTACATTAAATTTTCTTTATACACTAGTAATAATTATCTATATATTAGTAATACTGTGTCATTGCTCATGGTATTTCCATACGATAACTTTTCTGTCTTTCCCGCCCGTTATTATCAAGTTATTTTCAGCAATCACATCTAGAGCGCAAAGCGGACCTGAAAAAAATATCATAATACACATATATTAAAACAATTTTTATTTTATATATAAATTTTATTATTATAAAAAACACAAAATGTAGTTAACAAAAGATCAATAACATTAAAATTTTTCCGCTATATATATAAAAATTTAATAAAATATATTTTATCTAAAATATTTACCATCGTGACATTGTATTTGCGAAACAAATACAGCCCCTTGATGATTCCATATATTAAGATTTCCATCGTTATCACCTATCAACAGAAACGTTCCCATCCAAGTTAAAGTCAATGGTTCACTTTCTAAACTGACGGAATATATTTGTGTATTTGTTCGAACGTCGATTATATTTAGTACTTTGTCTTCCGCACATGATATCACACTAGTACACTGTTTATCGAACGTTACTGCATTTATTCTGCATACGTGACCTTTAAACAATATGTAAATTATAAATTAATATAATAGCACACATCAGTATTTTTATTGTCATAAAGTAATCTCTAACAATAAAAATTAAAATGTGTAATTAAATGCAATTAAATATTTGTCTTCGTATCATCAATGGCGTTTTTGAAATTGCAAACTTTTATAAAAATTGTAAATAGACAAAATAAACTACATCTAATAATAAATGTTTGAACAAAGTATTTGCTTGTTTGTGTAATTAATCTTTATATTATAATTATTTAATAAATTACGTACTGCACCAATTTTTTGTAAATCAGGTAACGTGGATTACTGATGATCTATATATTATTGCATTTTATTGTAAGTATATGTATATATTATAAAATAAGTCTAATAATATATAATTATAAGATTAAAAATTTTACATTTGATAATTATATTTGAACTAATAAATATTATGTAAAATATTACAATTCAAATCAAAATATCAATTTCAGCTTAAACGAAAATTTCAGCGATAACCAATGCGATACAGAACGTGTTAATATAATTATATTTAACAATTTCAAATGATAGCTATTCTTGATCTTTAGATTTCTGTGATTATGTGTATTAAACAAACTGAAGAAATATATTTACCTTTAATAATGGCTTGTAAATTATAACTAGCCATGCTCCACAAACACAATTCGCCATCTTCTGTACCAGATACCAACATAGTATCGTCACTGCAATTAGTGTAAAACAATTATATTCAATTTATATAAACATAACAAAATACACATCAATAAATACAATAGAAAAATAATAAATTATAAACATGTGTGTGTATATATATATATAAAATTTCTACTATATATGTAGCGTTTTTTTATTAGTATAGAAGTTAATTAAAATTATTTAAAAGAACAGAAAAATAAAAATATCTTGTTTTTCTTTTTATTACACTACTACAAGCTATAATTTACCTCGATATATTAATACAAGTTACTTTGGAATCGTGATCTAATTGTGCGATAAAACACTCTGCGGGTTTAATTTTCGATCCGGAAGTATATTCGTGCCAAACTTTTGCAGTACAATCCCACGACCCAGATATAATCACTTGATGCGTAGGGCTCCAAACTAAACATGAGACTGCATCCTCGTGTCCTTGAAGTACATCAATTATTTTACCAAACTCGATATCGTAAAATATCCTGAAAAGAAAATTCCTATCAATAAAATTTGCGAGAGTATGTAGAATCGTTTTTATATATAAAAAAATGCGTATCTGTAAATTTATGTTACAAAATTTACAATATTATATATAATTCGAATAAAAATTCAATCAAAAACATAATTTATATAAAAAAATATTAATATCTCTATTATAATTGTACACAGAATTTGATCATTGTCATATTTACAAGGTATTATCCCACGATCCTGCTACGAGAATGTTACGTTGTGACATTGTATAATATGAAATACAGGATGATAATGACAATAAAGACAAGGAAACGCTATGTGTCAATTTCCTTTCGTTAGTATTATACAATTTAAGCATTCCATCCTGTCCTACTGATATAATTTCGTTACTCGTATTTTTTCGTATGATACTGGTAACACAATCTTTGTGCGCTTGAAACACTACCAATTCCATGAAATTAATTGATTTTTCTTTTATACTTAGATTGCCTGGAAAGTTAAAAATATTATTTAATATAAATCATGTGCATATGTGTATATACATATGTATACATGTATATGCATGCGCGTATGTGTAAAAGAAAAAATATCTATAAAAAACAATACCTGAAGTCGTCATTTCTGGCAAAGTGAATAATGTTTCGCTGTATAATAAATTTGGAATTGGTGCTAAACGTTTGGGATGAGGTAAGGTAAAAACTTGCTTTGGTATCTGACCAAACTCCATAATTTGCACTTCAAGCCCATGTCTATCATTTATATCTCGTATAGTGTCTAAATCTACTGCTCCTTCATAGCACAAGTGGAAGAATACTATGATTAAAATAAAAAAATATGTATTATAAATATCTTGAAAACATCTTTTGCTTATAACTTTTAGTGTTGTTATATACGTTTTATATATGTTTTAGTTATATCTTAATTTAATTTATTCCGATTAATATAAGATATTTTATATTATTTTATATTACACACACACACACACACACACACTCTCTCTCTCTCTCTCTCTCTCTCTCCCCCCCTCCTCTCTTATTGTATATAAAGTATCAATTTTTTACCATTGTCAGCCTTTTCAGCTTCAACACCTCTTTGCTTATAGCCAAAAATTAAATCGATCCAATGATGAAGATTTTGAGAAACATAATCACTTTCTAAGGCATTTCTTAATTGTTGCACAAAATCGGTTGGTCCTAAGTATATTAAACAACTATTAATTTCTATTTGATATAAATTGATATTAAATTATATTTTTACATACAAATATATATATATATATATATATATATATATATATATATATATATATATCATTATGCAGGGTGTCTGACATAAGGTGTCACACCGAAAATATACAGGTAGATATTCTTATTTGGAGACAATTATTCCTCGGTAAAAACCTTGAGACGTCAATCATTTTCGAGTTATAAGCGATTGAAAATAAAGGGTTTTTCGCAAACTCAGGCTTGTAGAAATAAAGTATTAACAAAATCACATTCTCTAATTAATTTCAAGTAGACTTTACTTTAATAAAATTTTAATATAAGTTACGAGTATTTATGACGAGTAATTGTTGTGGTCGGTTTATTAACACATTTTATATTTTAATATAAGGTTGAGTTATAGATACATGATGGAAAAAAATTAGGAACATGCAAAAAATGATGACCTCCTTCAACATTTTTGTTGAGGAAAAATTGTCTCCAAATGACAAGATCTACTTGTATATTATCAGTGTGACACTTTATGTCAGACACCCTGTATAATTATCATGTATAAACAATATACAAGAACAAACTTTAGATTACTGTGTATTATTCTCGTTATTTTATTATCTCGAGAAACGCCTCTCAAAATACAAATACGATGGTGACTATAATAAAATATTTTTCTAGTAACTAAAAATATTTACCCTACTAAAAAAGATATAAACACTAATGATTATTTATTATTTAAGCAAACGATATAAAATTAAAAATAAAATCTTTCATTACCTTTCGCCCAAAGAGGAAGTTGTACATCACCTATCTTTGTACCGTCGTGCCGATAGCCAAAGTCGATACCATAACTATTCTCTAAAAAGTCACCGGCATTGCTCGTGTCATAAAATTCTGGTATCAGTTCTTTAAAGTCAGACATGTTCACCAAAACATTTTTCCACACGTCGGCTATACTGTTAGGTGTTTTGTTGGTAAAAGTGAAACATAAAATCGCGTTTCTGCGTATTTGACAGAGTAATTATGTGATTTTTATATTTCTTAAAAAATGGGTCTTACAATTTTCTTGCCTTTTCTTAAGAAATAAAAACGTACATTTTTTTGTAATATAAATTGTAACTTTCTAGTCATAAATTTCTTTCGCTTCACGTATCCCATTGTTATAAAACAAACTTTAATATCAAAGTTATAAAAAAGTTTGACATTATACCTGTTAAACATTCTATCTGGATGATCGAATCTTCCATTTTGTAGACAGAGCATATACTGTGGGTATTTCCGTACTAAGTAAAATAGTACAAAACCTGGTGCACTGTAATGAGAACCGTATAAGAATTTCGGATCGGACATTTCCAAATATCGTTCCTGCAACAATTCAAAAATGTAAAAAAAATATTGACTTTGTACTTCAATAAAGTATACTTTGTTGAAGCTATGAAACGCGAAATAATAACATAAAAAAATTATATAGACACTTAAAAATATATGATTTATATCTATACATAAAGTTTATTTAGCTCGTTTAAGAAACGCTTAATTGAGCATAGAAAAAATATTGAAATATTCTGTTGCATATATGTAATATGAAGATGGAAAATTCAAGTAATAAACAAAATTGTATGTGTGTAGTAAAGAGTGATATAAATCGACACATTCGTAACAATCGTCTATTCATAGTAGAGGCGCTGATATATCTGTACAGAACATTTTTTCATATTTTTCAGCTAAACAAATAATCGCTAGAAAATGATATTTTATATGCATTTTTCTATGCTCAGTTGTCAAGTAAAAAAAATGTAATACATGTACTTTTAGTCTCTCTAAACGAGAAGGTTCTAATGCACCAATAGGTTTTGAAAGCTCTCTATAAACATTAGTGTCATTTAAATCTAACGTGCTAGAAGTATAGTCCTGTATAATCCATGGAAATACTGGGTATTGCGTCAAATCGTGAAATGTTCTGTCAGCCAAACTGAAACAATGTATTATGGATAAAATAGATTCTTTAAATAAATATAGTTATTCTTTTCTCTTTGTCAGGCTATTAATAATCAGAGCTTGAGAGCTTTTATATAATTACCTATTTATATATAAAATGTAATCATAATTCGATATATATCCATTTTGCCATCTCATTGTCATTTGATTTTGAGGCACAGTCTCTAGAGAAACCATTGATTGTTTAAGTAAATTTTCATATAGCTTATCTCTTTCATCCTGATTTTGAAATGATAAAAATAGATGTTCAATTTATTATCAGCTTGTCGTGTCCATTTAATTTCAAGACCCTGCAAACAGAATTTTTAATTTTATATATATATATATATATATATATACACACACACACACACACACATAAATATAATATAATAATAATATATGTATATTATAGTAGAACCTTAGATTATGAAATATATTTACCACTTGCCGCAATAGAAATCTTCTTTTTATAATATTTCGTACGTCTTTCAATTGAATTTTAAGGACAGGATGCTGAAATATACAAGCAACATTATATTTGAAACAACATAATATTTCTTCTTTTCACATTGTGAAAAAGAAAAACCAAGTACACAAATAAAGAGACATTTATAATTAAGAAGATGATAATTACCTGATCCATATTATTATAGGGTTGAAAATAAATTCTCGAGGTAGTCAGTAATACTCTGCCTGGATTTACAACAAGTGGCGATACTTTGTTCGCTTGTGTTTCTAAAACTACTTGTTCATATAAATCTTCAAGCCACGATGTGTCAAAGGATACACGCGATTGTCTTGAGTGTACAATAGCCATAATCTTGAAAATTAAAAGCATTATTGTGTGAGAAGTCTTTATTATAAATAACTATAATTCTTTAAAAAGAATTAGATGAATAAGAAAACATTACCATAGCGTTTTGTTCCGCAGTTGCTAAACTTGCTGCTCTATGCAACTGCAAGATTTGTGGAAGACAATCTTCTATTTTTGCATAATTGAAACAAAATTGAAACATGGTATTTTGATGTATAAATCTGTATGGTGCTAATATATTTTTTTCGAGCATTTCCACATATTGTTTACATTCCACTGACAGCATATTACTACGATAAAATCAAATATACACGAATAAATTACTGGTAATAATAATGCCAAAGAATATAATAATGCAAAGAGACAGATAAAAGCTAAAAAGCTACTTTTTAGAACTCATATATTTCCTACTCTATGCATTTTTTCTTTGCCTTCTGTGTTTCTGGCTGTATTCAATATGTACTTGCTCTACCCTGCTATATCATTGCTCGATGTATGTTGCTCCACAAATGTAGTCTCTTTGAGTTGAATCTTTATCAATGGCTGGTTAATATCTTTATTTACAAATACCAAAGATTTGGAGCACAGCTTTAATCTCCCATCCATCCAGTTTTTACTTTCAGCATTTCTAGCATCTAGCCTTCTCATCTGAACACTATAATCTTCAAAAAATATTTCTCCTGGTTCCAAAAGAAGCATTGTAAATCTGTAGACATTGTAAATCGATGTAACTTGCTGCAATAATATATTTTACAACATGCACTATATTGATAAAACTATCGGAAAACAGATGCGTATACTTTAAAAAAAACTGACTGTTTAAACGCAAGATTTCAAATATTGAAACTTGAAACACACACACACACGAAATAAGAGTAACAATTTTATTTAAACAATTCAGTTTGTATACTTGTATAATATATAAACAATGCAAATTTTAAAAATTTAATAATTAGTAAAGTTTCTCTATAATATTAAATACTTCCGTTTATATTTGTAGTGCGCCATTTTAAGAAATTCGAACTTATTTGAAAAATTTGGCCACAAAATAAAAAAAATATTTTTTTTACACAATCATGTGTGTGTATGTGTGTATTGGAATATGAAGAGAGACATAAATATTTAAAGAATACATATACTTGACTCAAATATCAATGAAAGTGTACACATATTCGAGATCTTTTGATCCTTAAATGAATTTTTATATTATCCTTAGACATTGTAAAGAGAAATAATTAAAATTAGACATAGAGAAAATATAATTCATATTTTAAAAAAAAACATTTACATTATGCGGAATTAAAATCAAAAAATCCTATTAAGTTCGTAATATATCATTCGTAAAACTTCTAGCCTTAAAAGATAACATTTTAAACAGCAATAACTCTTACCACGATAAAATTCAATGGTTTTCTTTTTTGTTAAATATACATTATTATTTCAGCCATACAAAAAAGGACCAATTTGATTAATTTTAACAAAATTGAAAGTAGAAGCTATTTTATCTTGCTAAGAGCTCATGAAAATTTTATATACCTTTCTTTCTCCATCGTTGCTGTACGTATAAACAAAAAAATAATAAATTCTATATTTACAAAATATATAAAATTCTATTAAATACGATGTTGATAACCGAAATTTTTGTCGTTATAATTGTACAAATTCTTAGGATTCAATCTAATTAACAAAACATGATTGACAAGGTTCGTTTTGCTCACATCTTCGGATTCTGTACTTCCTGTTCGTTTTGTTTGCGCTATCTACACTTATTTCCAGAAAGTGTAAACAAAATGCGACATGAGAAAAACCGATATAGGTAGATAGATTTAAGTATATCTATTTCGTCATCAGACTGTACTTTTATTGGAATTATCGAAAAGAAAAAAAAAGAGCTATTATCAAATTTCAACAGCGCTATTAATTTCAGTGAACAAATGATAAATAATAGTACTTGCTTATTGTTTGCACATTTATACTTGATTAGGAATATATGTATATTCCTAATCAAGTATTAAGAATATATGTAAAGATTAATATATCAAGTATTAGGAATATAGTAAAGATTAGGAATATATGTATACTTGATTAGGAATACATGCTCAATAAAAAAATTATACTTGATTACACGCGCGCGCACAAAATCCCTGCCTAATTTTTGTCAATTGGATGACTTACTACTACATGCTTATACAATTTTATAATTAAAATTAGAAAGTCATCAATGTGTCTTGTTTCTCACTCATATTTATCTACAAAATTATTATAGATTAAAAGTTATTTTCATATATCGTGCCGAAATTATTATTCAAATTACAAATATTATATGCGCAATAGCATAGTAGCACATTGGTAATAGCAATGATATTTTAATGACACTTGTGTATTAATTAGTATAAAAACAAATGAATATTCGTACAGAGCTAGCGACACAAGCAATTTCTTGTCTAGCGTAATTCTTCAAATTCTTTAAATCATAAAATTATTTGGCAGTTAAGCTGTTTCAGGGTTGTCTGCATTGTCAGCCGTATCGTCCTCCTTGACTTCCAAGATTCTCGGGCCGTACAGAAGAACATACGCGCAATGCCAATCACCACCTCCACTGAGTTTTAAAACTTCTTCGGTGGTAACAGCCGTAACAACATCATCGTCGCATTTCATCCACGTATCACCCTTTTGACGAATCCAACCGACATAATGACCGCTACTGCTAGAACGTCCTCTGTGCGTCAGAACCGCTTGTAATTTATAGTAACCGCTATTATTTGATCCCAAATCTGCAATATGAATATGAGTATATCGATATCGTACACGAAATTTGTAGAATGTATAATTTGCTTTTTTTCATACTCTTACCGTTCTTAAACCAGAATGGTTCTTGTTTAATTTTTTTCTTTATGCCATCTCCTTTATCTGTAGCTTTTGCATTACAAGATTCTTCTACTAATGAATCTTCGTATTCTTTGAATTTCTCACGCATTGGTACAAGTTTGTTTTGAAGTTCGGGACTACATAATTCAAAAGCATCAAATTCCAAAGGAAATTTAACATCTTTCAATATCTTTGCATTAATCGCTTCTTTTTCTTTATAATAAAACCGTACAAATTGAATAGTTAAATACGCTGGTAACCTGCTAATCTTCGACTGAAAAAATGCACACATATACATTATACACTTCTATACATCTTAATTTATCTCTAGAAATAGCTTATAAATTTATTGTCATATTTAAACTATCGATTTCAATCTTTGAATAAATATTTTTATCTTTAATATAAACTTAAATTCGCATATTAAGATATTCTTGTGTACTCACATATAGTTAAATACAGAGATATAATAATATATTTTTATATTTGTATATGCGGCATTATTTTTACATATCTAATATATTATTCAATGTTATAATTATCTTATTCATATACACTTAAATAAATGCAAGGATTTATTGTTATAATTGACTAAACTATGTCGACAATTTATTGATTTATTTATTAAGTTTGTATATTTCAAACTTTCTTCGAAAATAGATGTTTTACTTTAAACTTCTCTTTTTCTCCTTAACTTAGTTTATAACTTCTTCTCGTATAAATATCATGCGCATAAATTTGAGATTACTATGTGGCATATATATAAATTAAAAACGTACCGTTTTTGTATACACAGCATTCCTTCCAAGCGTCGGAGACATTTTCGTAATTTGCTCCTGCATTTTGTTTCTAAGCCCGAAATACATGTGCTTGACATCGGTTGAAATAAAACAGCTCAATTGTAAAAATTCTTCTTTTCCAGTAGTGGCTGGTTCGTCCTCTGATTCAACGCACTTTAACTCGGAATCAAATATACCTCCAAAATATTGTTCGATAAATGATCGTGGTTTAGAAGCTTCGGTATCATCTTCCGATACATCTGCGTTGTTCTGTTAGAAATACACAGTTCTTGATTATTTTATAGATAAATTGTTTATATGTATAAATAATATGTATATGTATACAAAAGATAAGCTGAAAAAGTTGCTAACACATATTGTACATTGTCAATAACCTTTGCAGGTAACTTTTGCTGTAACATTCTAATCAATTCCGTCCAACATTCGTTTGCATCTTGTTGTTGAAATACACCCTGTTCGGTCTTTTCCGCAAATCTTGGGAAAGCTAAATGCAGCATTTGAACTAGAACAAGTGGCGCTCTAGACGTTCCCTTATCCATATTATCATATAGATCTCTTAATGCCGCGGTTATACTTTGCGCGGGTAATGATAAACTCGCGGCTGTTGCCCAGCCACCTGGAAAAATCTTCAAGGCTTCTCGTAATTCTGGCACAGTTTTTAAACACTGCACTGTTGCATTCAGATAGCATGTGTTCCCAAGATTATGTAAACCAGCTGGTAAATCTAAAGCTGTAGCTAATTCAGCTTCATTCATATCTTCCAAAAATACTGGTTTTTCCATTGGTTCTATAGGCACATCTTCCTCCTTAGAACCCATCATAAGTACTGTGACACCCTAATACAATAAACAATAGATTACAAATCTATTTAGATATATAAAAAGATTTAGGGCAAAACGGAAGAACAGTAATTCATATATATACATATATATTCTTTTTATTACATTTTTAAGTGTTAAATTGCCCCAATCGTCGTCCTTGAGTGTCATTCCCTGGAGCATAACTTTTTGCCTCCCTGGTTGAACTCCAGTCAAAGCATAAAGCTGTGCTTTAAACAATATTGGTTCTTCCTCGGTATTAACTTCTACATTAGAAAAGAGTTCTTTGCCCCATTTAACTTTAACTGAAACATATCGACGATACATAAGAAAGATATGAAATATTGAACTGCGAACATATATTTGTATTGTATTATATTTGTATCATATGTATCCATATTTTGTGTGTAGGACAAATATATGGTCCCAAAACATAATTTCTTATTTAAAAAAAAGTCCAATCATAAGATATAATATTATCCTAGATAGACATATTTCAGCAGATTGTTTGCATGACAGAATTTTAAAATTGAAAATGCTTGCGCATAAATGCATTAACAGGTACGTCCTCATATGAGTACTATCAGCGAATAAAAGGATCTTCTAATACTGTAAAAATTGCAAAAATATGCTGCTTATTTTGTCAGAAATATAATAATTACAGTTGTGTGTTTATAGTGTAGTGAAACATATTGCTATTTTATAAAATATACAAATATATGTTAATAATATGACATCATAATGCACAATTAAAATTTATTAAAATAATTTGTAATTTTATACTTTTTTGATTGCATTACAAAGTATACATAATATGTTTGCATACTATGTTCAGCATACTTGTCTATCTGGGATCAAACAAAAACTTTGATCAGTGATTAATAAACTATATTGTATAATAAATAATATACATTATATAAATAATAAATATATGTTGTATAAAAATAAATAAAACGTATAAAAATAATTTTAAAAAATATATAAAATAAACAGATTAGCTTAAGTTTAAATTATATTTAGATTAGACCCTAAATTATCTTGGCATATACTTTTGATTTATTTCTATCAATAAATTTCAGAATAAAATGAAATTGTTTCATTCAATGCAAGTAAATATATGTTAAAAAGTTGTACGACTAAAAAAATTACAATAATTTTGTTTTTTTCTTTATTAGATAGATTTGAGGTTAGTTATTACGATAATCGAGTATTGATACCTGTGTATTGAGGCATGTTTATTCCTCGTATATATAGCACGCTGCACTATATAAATATGTTAAATCTATAAAATATTAAAATAATATTTAAGATTTTTTAATAATGATTACAAGTAACCACAAAGTGCCAAGTCAGACTCGCGGCACTTATTGTTATGGATATTCAGCATGTGTCGCTTTTTCGCTTATATGAAGAATTTATCGGTTAACAGATAGATGGCCAGCTGATCGAGATATACAGGGTGGGGCAAAAGTTGTACCAGATTGTACGATCGAAAAGGGAGATTCCTTCATATATATACATATATCTATATCTATACATTAATTGTTTAACGTGTTACAATAATTAAAAATGTTTAAATTACTAAATAACACATATATTGTCAAAAATTAACTATTTTATCAACCATAGATATGAAATTTCTTTAAGTCTTTATATAGGGTGTCCGGTAACTAACGGACCAACGATTACAAATGGATTCTTTGGTCAATTTGGGAACGATTTTTCCTCAGCGAAAATGTCGAAAAAGGTCATCATTTTTTACAACTTTCCAATATTTGTCATATATGTATCTTTATAACTAAGCCTCAAATGAAAATTTTATTATAGTAAACTCTACCTGAAATTAACTGCGAAGAATATGTAATTATGTTAGACTTTTAACTCCAAAACGTTTAGTTTTCAAAAAACCCATTTTTTTCAATCGCTTATAACTCGAAAATTATTGACTTCTCAACATTTTTGCTAAGGAAAAATCGTCTCCAAATTGGCCAGAGAATCCGCTCTTAATCATTGGTCCGTTAATTACCGGACACCCTGTATACGCATATATAATCTTATTTTATATATATGTATACGAACATTGTGCAAGTATGCATGCGTTAAATTTATCATTTATTATGCTACTTTTCAATTTTTCTGTCACATATAACTTTAGTACCTAATCCTTAACTCAAAATTTTATTTAAACAAGCTCTATCTGAGAAATTTTTTATATTATTGTTAATTGTATATATTTTCTTATTTATTTATTTATAACTCTTTTCCAATAACTGAAAAATTATATTAACGCGGTTCGACATATTTACTACAGAAAAGTTAATCTCCGTTTGAAGAATAAGAAAACATCTGATAAAATATTTTTTATCTAATATTTAGTAATTCTTCACACGGAGAAATCATAAAGATATGTGAGAAATAACGTTTACAAAAAAATTTGGATTTATGAAATCTTTATTTTATTTTATTTTTTTGTTATATATATATACACTGATTTTTTGTGCTATAAATTATATATATATATATATATATATATATATATATATATATATATATATACAGATGGATCCTAGGAGAGATTGATCCCCCTTTTCCAAATTAAAAAAAATAAACTAATTTTTAAGAAACGAGTTAAAAAATATAAAAAAAATTTTTAAAATAAAAATAGAATTAAAAATTTTATCATGTCCTCATCATTGATCTTGGAGTAAAAACTAAGCATATTAATGGTACAAAGAAAAAATAAAATAAAATATCAAATCAAATAATTTTACCAAAATCTTTCCCCTCCATTATCGACATTCAGATCCGCTAGTGTATATATATATATATATATATATATATGTGTGTGTGTGTGTGTGTGTGTGTGTTTACACATATACATGTTCACTAAACTTCTGTAAATTAGGACCAGCCTAATGCAACTTCATTAAGAGTATCACATTGCCATACTTGTGTTAAATATTAACGATTACATCTCGTATAGCAGATTTGTTACGCAATGTGTGATATATATTATAAATTTTATATATATAGATATATATAGTGTGTGTTTAATATTTTATGAATAACATATAAAAAAATAGCTGAAAAGGCAAAAATCTAAATAATAAATAGAATAAAATAATATATTAACTATGTGCTGTACAGCAAGAGTTACCTCAACACATTTTTTAAGATAATAGTAATAATCTTAAGCCCAAACTCGTAAGGTCGAGTCCCAACTTCCAGTAGATAGGGCAGTACCGTCTGGGGAAACTCTTAGACACGAAACTCGATTTTCATGCCCATACAATAATGCCACTCGTTGGCACTTTAAGGTATCCCACACGTTCACTGTATAATCATTGTATCCGGCAAAGAGCAACCGTCCACTTACACTAAGATCAACTGCGTTTGCTCCAAATATTATACTCTCTTTTGCATATACCGCAACTTCTTTATCAGCGCGTAAATCGAATAAGCGACAAGTAGCATCGTCCGAACCTGTTGCTACCGCATCGCCGCCTGGATGAAATCTCACCTGTTTGCATTGAGAAAATACAATAATATAATATTACAAACATTTATATTTTGCAAAAAAAAGCGAAAAATATATCTCAATTATTATAATATATTGATAATCTTTCATTTCTTGCAATACTATGACAAGTAATAGGAGGTGTAATTATAGGAATTACTATATACCGAGTTAACGTCGGATTGATGCCCTTCAAAGCTTTGCACGCACTGACCACTGCGCATATCCCAAATTAAGACCAATTTGTCACAACCACCTGACACAAATGTGTTGCCAGTTTCACTCGGTGCTAAATCAATGGACATGACATCACTGGAATGTCCTTGAAAACTCTGTAACAATTGTCCACTTTCCACATCCCATAAACCACATGTACTGTCCCCACTACCCGTTAAAATCTGTTGATCGCTGTTAGGAAACGCGCAGCATGACATGTATGATGTATGCGTGCCGACAGTTTTCTTATGAGCCGAAACATCTTCCTCTAAACTTAACGTATACACTGTAACTTTATTATCCAGACCTCTGCAACAAAGCACAGTGTGTTAGCATCAGTAACACTTTAGCACATTGAGAATCTCTGATTTGAACATTTTTTCTTGATATATGATAAATTTATCGTAATCTATTATGATAAATACCCGCATGCAACTAAAGTGCCACTAGGACCATAAGCACATGCCATCACCCATCTAGTTGGCATACTAACAGCATGTTCTTTATTTGTAGTAAAGGCATCCCATATAATCATTCTTCCATCCTAAAAGTTGAACAATGTATAATATATGCTATTACTGTAGAATGTAAAATAAATATCTTTATAAATAAAGCTTTATATACATACCTGTGAAGAAGAAACAATATGGCGCTTATCGGGAGACCAATCAGAACATAAAACTTTGGCTTGATGTCCTTTTAGGATACGTCTAGGTTTTACATTTATACAATTAATTGCTTCGAGTCTATCAGCTACACTGGCAACTGAAATATAAGAACATAAGTACATTTTATAAAGATTTTTTACAGACATTTTATTAAAGATTTAAAATAATGAAAAATTAATAATCCAATCTTGTAATTACTTTTTTCTTAATTATATATATATATATATATATCTGTGTGTATAAAGTACATATAGTATCTCATATTTTTTTAAATTAATAAAAATATATAAAATATTAAAGTTTAAAAAAATTTGCAAATATTTATATACAAATGACATATATTGGCAAAAATGTTGATAATTACGTGTGATATCATTCAATTTCTGTCGTTCATCTTCCAAACGTATCTTTAAACATTCTGCCTCTTTGGCCAGTTTCTCTATATGTTCCAATTCCGTAGCAGCTGAATCCATATTGTTTTACTTGTTCGACACTGAACAATTTTTTAATATTCTATAAAGATATTTCACAAACAGAGAGTCCTTTATACATTGGAATTACATTATATATGTCATAATTGTGTACATGTATATTATATATACATATATATGTGTATCAATTTTAATGAGACAATATGTATGTATGTATACATTTTCACGACAATTTTTCCTCGTTATGAATGAAATTCATTTATCAATCACAGCGATAAAGGCAGTTAATTGTTACTTGATTAGAATTCTAAATAATTTCTTAAATCTCCAAAACATATTATTTTCGAAGCGGAGCGGAAAATCGTAAAACGCTAACAAATATCAACATCGACGTTTCACACGCGTCATCAGTTTTCTTCATTCATATCTTCTTTCTTACTGTTTTATTGTGCGTTTGTTTTTAAACGAAAGAGATCTTTCACATGCGGTAAGAAAGGATAATCGATACGACGAATTGACGCGAAACGAAATAACCAAGCGCTTGGCGCCGATGCACACATTGCACGCGCGCGCACACACACCACACACAAGTATGGATGCTGTGACAGCCGCCCAACTTGGGTCGATATATAAATTGGTACAGTGCAACCGCGACTCATCATTGCTTATCATTTAGAAGAAAATTTGTTAAATATATTAAATGTCAATATCTCTGTTATATTTTGAAAAAGTATAGGTATTTTTCACTCACACTATCAACCTATTGTAACAAACGTAATCGTATATATTCAGATTAATTATCTTATCTACATAAAAATATACATTATAACAAATTTATTATTATAATTATTATTATATATTATAATTTTACTCGTCAAAATGTTATTTTCAATTTTTCGACTTTTTTAAATATTTGATATGCATATATGTATTCAAATTGACCGCTTTTTATTATGAAGTAACGTGATTGGGCAGAAGCTCGCAGCAAACTATACATATATATTATATGGCGCGTTCCATTTAACGCTCGCGACGCTTCTCGAACATTCTCTATCTTCGTTCAATTTGAGGCGAACAACGAGGATGAAATGATTCCGCGAGAATAAGCGGAACCCTATACGTAGCTAGTTACGAAAGCGAATCAATATAGTCTGCGATTTCCTGCGCACGAAGCACGAAGTTGAGAGTAGTCAGAGTCAGAGTAGGAGTAGGGTTGAGGGAACGAAGGAGGAATCGACGGTCGACGGACATCACTGACGACTGGCGTTCGTGTGATCCTCTCGCTGGCTCCTATCAGTACCAGTCCCTACTCTACTTTGAAGCAATTGAGATTTTCGTAGTCCGGCTAACGGGCTTTCCCGCTTGAAAAAAAATGGCACTATTATCTTTACGTCTGGCCTCGTCTTTAGTTAGACAGCTGCCGAATACCACGACTCAGGTAATTCCAAAAGCGAAATCTCATCCATTCTTGTACCCGTGACACGTTACGCCTAGCGAAACGTGCCGACATTTTTTATTTATCAGAACAGCACTGTTCTCCGATTTTATCCTTTTTCTTTATTACTTTTGGTCGCAAGTCAGATTATATGTAGAAAATAAAGCAAGTTTTTTGATTTATAAATTGCTAAATTGATGGTAAAATTTATACATACGATGCTAAATCAATGTCAATAGTATGTATCTATTATATAAAATGTGTTGGAGTAGCCAGTTATATAATCGTTTATATATACATATATGTATACTTATATATATTTTTGTTTAATATAGATTATTTGGCCCACAACTGCTGTAGCTTCTTGCAAATATCATGTCTCGTGCAGCCGTCGTTCGGCAGAAATTTCTTCCATTCTGGAAGAACGTATTCTTGGATCGGCACCAAAGGTATATTCTTTATAAAAGACTTAAATTATTACATTACTAGCATTATTCAGGTATTATATGTAACAACTTGTATGTTTTTATAAAAATTTTTTCTTAGAAATTTTATTTTAACTTTTTAAAGACAAGATTATTTTCAACTATTTTTCTTTTATACAAATTAGATAAAGTCTATGCTAATCTCATTTTAGACTAATCTCGAAGAGACCGGTAGGGTGCTCAGCATTGGAGATGGTATCGCGCGTGTATATGGACTAAAGAATATTCAAGCTGACGAGATGGTGGAATTCAGCTCAGGTTTGAAAGGTATGGCGTTAAACTTGGAACCTGACAATGTAGGCGTTGTCGTATTCGGTAATGACAGGCACATTAAGGAAGGAGATATCGTGAAACGTACTGGTGCCATTGTTGATGTCCCTGTCGGCGAAGAATTGTTGGGTCGTGTTGTCGATGCCTTGGGCAATCCTATAGATGGTAAGGGACCTCTGAACAGCAAATTGAGATTCCGTATTGGAACAAAAGCTCCAGGCATTATTCCCAGGTAATTTATAATAAAGTTGTAATCTTATGTTTTTTTTGTGTAGAATTTTACGTGATCTTTTATTTTCAAGCAAAAATTGCAATTGATATTATCCATCTGTCTTGTAAAAAATTTTAAAAATTAATTTGAAATTTAAATGTATATTCAAAAAACATACATATGATATATTCACTTTTTTAACAGAGTATCAGTCAGAGAACCTATGCAAACTGGAATTAAAGCTGTGGATTCCTTAGTACCTATTGGTCGTGGTCAACGTGAATTGATCATTGGAGACAGACAAACTGGAAAACTGCTCTTGCCATTGATACAATTATTAACCAAAACGTTTTAATGACGCTGGAGAGGAAAAGAAGAAATTATATTGCATTTATGTTGCTATTGGTCAGAAGAGATCCACTGTTGCGCAAATCGTAAAACGTTTGACAGATAGTGGTGCTATTAATTACACTATCATTGTGTCCGCCACTGCCTCTGATGCAGCACCACTTCAATACTTGGCCCCATACTCTGGATGTGCTATGGGAGAATTCTTCAGGTGAGTATTTAAATTCATATTTGTCATTATACAATCTTTTTATTTAATTTTTTATTTAAAAAATAGTATGTATGTACATCTTATGTTCAATAATCAAGTTCATTGTTCTAAGAAAAAAATTTTATGATTATTATTCTGCAGAGACAATGGAAAGCATGCTTTAATCATTTATGATGATTTATCCAAGCAAGCTGTTGCCTATCGACAAATGTCCTTGCTGCTTAGAAGACCACCAGGTCGTGAAGCCTATCCTGGCGATGTATTCTATCTTCATTCTCGTTTGCTCGAGAGAGCGGCCAAAATGAATGAAAATTTAGGTGGTGGATCATTGACAGCTTTGCCCGTCATTGAAACCCAAGCCGGTGATGTGTCCGCTTATATTCCTACGAATGTCATTTCTATAACCGATGGTCAGATATTCTTGGAAACGGAATTGTTTTACAAAGGTATCCGACCCGCTATCAACGTAGTTTATCTGTATCGCGTGTCGGATCCGCTGCTCAAACTAAAGCCATGAAGCAGGTATCGTATATAAATTTTTGAATACATCGATTATGTATATAAGTAACGCGCGCGCGAAAGAACTTTATCATCAAAATTATATACGAAGTTTTTTTATTTATATACAAAATTATACAAAGTTTTTTTATTTATATACAATTATCATTGAATAAAAATATATATTTAAAAATTATAATAAATTTACGAAACCGATAATTTATATTTAATTGCATATAGGTCGCTGGCTCGATGAAATTGGAATTGGCTCAATATCGCGAAGTAGCGGCTTTCGCTCAATTCGGTTCAGACTTGGATGCTGCAACTCAACAATTGCTAAATCGTGGTGTAAGATTAACAGAGCTTCTCAAACAAGGACAATATGGTAAAGTCTTATCAATTAATTTCAATTATTTTAACGATTTTCTCAATATAAATCAATTTATATATATACATATATCTTTTTAGTACCTATGGCTATTGAGGAGCAGGTAGCTGTCATATACTGTGGTGTACGTGGTTATCTTGATAAGATGGATCCTACAAAGATTACTGCCTTTGAAAAAGAATTTCTTGCACACATCAGGTATTTAGTATTGTATTTGTACACAATGTCTTTAAATAATACGCATATTTTTTATGTATACAATACTCTTTTCTAGATCTACTCAACAAGATCTTCTTGCTACTATTGCAAAAGAAAACATAATTAGTGAAGCATCAGATGCAAAACTGAAGAAAGTAGTTACTGATTTCCTATCATCCTTCTCAGCATAAAGTGCAATTCTATGATAATGTCATCCAATGTCATTGTAATATGCGTATCAAAATAGAAAAAGAAAATGTAAAAAGATTTCTTGAAGATTTTTTGCTGCTGACCGAGTGTTAATGTACTGATATTACACATTGTCATATAAATGTTACACATATTACAATATAATTATGTATAATATCTACATTAGACATATTGTTGCAGCAATCTCTCTCTCTCTCTCTCTCTCTCTCTCTCTAAATTATAATTCACAAACTCAATAGCAATCATATACAATATGTTGATACAAAAAGATTCGTCTTTAATAAAAATATAAATATTAATGTTTTGGATACATTTCTTTATGAAACAAAAATTTCAATTATAGTAAAAATACAAAACCCTTTTTCAAAAAGAAAATAAGTAATAATATAAACATTTTGTTCAAGATAAAGAGGAAGACAGTATATTTTATCTTTTAAAATGTCTGGTCTTTTATTCAAACCAAATTATAATAATTAAAAGCAAAATATCGTGCATTTTTATGATTTATATCGAAATTTATTTTCTTCAATCTATTTTAACCAATACAATTTATATAAAAACTATAGTTTTGAAATTATTTCTTTTATATATATTTATTATAATAATGCAAAAGTTAATTTAATTTACATTTATTTTTTAATTATTTTGCTTTTCCACATAATTTTTATTAATTTATTCCTTCTTCTAAATATACAAATGTCGACATAATATAAATTGATATTTGCTACAAATATATATCTTATAATAATAATAATAATTAATAATAATAATAATAATAATAACACATATATTGATTTATGCTGTAGATGAAACAGCTAATTTCTTCAAATGTTCCATAAACACTTGTAAGCTAACATCATCTGTCAAAACAGGTGCCCCGCTTTCCTAAATAAAACAAAATAAGAATTAGGTATTTGTTTTTGTGTTAAAGTTAAATTGACACACACATCAGATTTATATGATAATTATAATCTCAAATACATTTTCAATATTTATATAAAAAAAAATTTGTCATATGTCTAATATTATTAAGAGAATTTATATTATATATAATGCTAAGATAAAAGATTTTTAAGAATAAAGTCAAAATTTGCTTAACAAAAAATGTAAGGTTAGTAATTTTGAAAAGATTTAAAATATATCAACTGATTATAATGTTAAAAGATCAGTTTGTATAATATTTTTAGTAAGTGTGTTTAAGATATGCTGCATGTTAAATAATACAAAGATAACTTGTAAAGATAAATTTTTAATTTCCCATCACCATGCATATGTGTGTGTAAACATATATGCTTGAAATTGCAATCATTTTTATAAAAAATATTGAAAACTATTATAACCTGCAAAAATAATTAATACAGTACAAATTTGAACATAATTGAAACATTAAAATGCATCTATATATATTACAAATTTTCTGAGGTTAATTATCACATAATTAGCACAAATGTATGTTGTATATATATATTCAGTTTATTTTATATTGAAAGATCTGATCAACACAAAAATAAATTGAACAAAACATGGAATAAAAAATTTTTCGAATAAAATCTTGTACGAAACATTTTATTTTATATTGTTTACTTATTTTTTGCACGAGAGAAATTACTTATATTATTTACTTATACTTTTTTTACTCAATCTATATGCAATTACAAAATTACTAAATATTTTCTATAGATTTTTAACAAAATGAGAAATAATTACAAAAGTATTAAAGTATATGGATAAAAATAATAAATTATAAAAAAATCAATAAGATGCATTTTCATATAAATATCACAATCTGTTAATTTTAAATAATCCAATCACCAAAGCAGCTAAGCAAATAAAGAAAAAAAGAAAAAAACTAAATAAAATAACACACCCCATTAGGTATCGGCATCCCTAGTTCACACAGGATCACGGTAACATAAAATATAAATATAAAAAAAAATTTAATTACAGATAGTATGTAGTTTATACATTAAATATAAACATTCATAAAAATTATTTATTTCAATTATAGATTCATTGATCTATTTGGAAAAAATCTTTCATACAAAAAATTATATATATATATATATATATATTCAGTTATTATATTTATTATAATTAGATTATTATTATAATATAGACCGAGTTTTTTTTAATTTTAATTTTTAATATTTTTTTTGTAGCTAAACCTTACTTTTTCGCATATATAATTAAAGCTGATTACGAGTAGATTCAGAATATGTAACTCACAAGCTTGAGTCTTTTTATGATTTTGAAATAATTCCAAAAATTCAATTTCGACAGATATGTTATAAAGATAACACTAAATAAATCAAAGTAATAAATATTTTGAAACCATTTTGCTCCAAAATCGTAAGAGAGTTTGTGAATTACATATTCTAAATCTATTCATAATCTACTTGTAAGATTTTAATCATATGCAAAAAAAGTTGGTAATTTTAACTGATTAGAAACTTGGCCACATTCTTTTGTTAAATATATTTTTCCATTTAACACACAAAATATTTTAATAAAAAAGAAAATATCAAAATATTAAATATATTTGATTACTTACCGCGCCATAAGCATACATATTATTGTGAGTCTGACTTGGATTGACTTTGCTTAATAAAAACCTAGCTTGAGAACCACCTTGCTCTGTATCAATATACCGAGGTGCAGGAAATCTACCAGCTAAGATTTCAGATGCATCATCAACAGGTGCTGCTAATAATTGTCGAAAGTTTTCATATTCTGGCAAATCTTGATATTTTAATTGTCGCCACTGTGCAATAGTCTGAAAAAATAAATTTTAAAATAATAATATGATGAATAAATTTCTTTCATGAATTTTATATACAATCTAAATACAGAACTAAAATCATATTTCTAGATACATCAATATGTTTCTATCTACTTGTCTGTCCCAAACTGGAGTAAAATTCCTGTAGCATTTAATTTAAAATGTCACAATAAAGCATGCGCAATAATATTAATCGATAATATCGCCAAAATTTGATAAAATATTAAACACAATTATATATCTTGGCTGTAAAAAATATTTGTCAAAATTAACATTAATGATAGATAACAATTCTTCAAAAAGAAAAGTTAAATATCATATGCAAAACAGAATATCATACATGACAAATAACACAATAATAATAAATAAGCAAAAACGCGAATTAATAATGTATGAACGGCATACAAACAGTTGAGAAATAATTCATTTGTCAACAATTATTTACATTTATCTACGTAATTGAATAAAGCAATATCTTATTTTATCACTATACCAATTGAATTAGAAGAACTTGAAATAATATACTAAACCTCTTAAAGACAACCATATTAGTACTTAAAGCGCGAAAAATCAATGGTTAAAATTGCATGTTAGGAAAAGAACTATAAATATAGTTCGTTTGCCTTATAATTATGACAGACATGTTTCATAAATAGATATTAAAATAATGTATGTCAATAATATCATTCTTATATATAATATTCTGTTATAATTTTACTTGTGTATCACAAAATATATTTCTTCTATATATTGTAACTTAAAACAAATTTAATATATATTAATTAAATATCGTTTAGTTACCTCTCCATGAAATATTAGTATTTGGAAAAATGTATCCATTAATAAAATTCTCTCAGGTTGAATGGATGAAGTATCTAATAATACTGGTTCTGGAGGACCATTAAATCCATAACTATATAAAATTGGTTGGACCATAATCAAAGAATTTGTTAAATCTTCACGCATAAGCATATGTCTGGAATGTCAAAAAAATATGTATTGATACGAAATGCAAGATTTAAACGTGTCGATAAGTTAAGTCAAGTACTTATCATATGTGTTTCATGAAAATAAAATACAAGACAACTTACCTATAAAAACTAGTTTCATCTGGCGAATTATTGAATACCTGTAAGAATTGCGATCTGCGCAAATGATACATAAATTGTGGATACAAAGAAAAGTTTTCTGCCAATCTAAAGCTATTTGGATCATCTTTTGCATATTCTCCGAATTTTTGACACTGCAACAATATTTTATATTTCATAATATTAATATAGAATACGTAAAAAAAATATATACCTACAATTTTATATATATAAAATAAAGTGCAAAACGCGCGCGCGCACGTGTGTGTAAGATTTAAGCTTTGTACTTTACTATAATATAAATTATATATATATATATATATATAATTAATATAATGGCACAATTTTATTGACAGAAACTACTAACAAGTCTAATCAGCATACGATCGACCCATCTTAAAACATCTGGACCGTCGTCACTTTCTGCTTTAAACACAGCTAAACGTGACATGAGAACAGCTGCTGCTTCTTGATCAAATCCAGCGCTTACATGATGTAAAGATGATGATGCATCTGCCCAACTGTAATTAAAGATATTCTACAATAGTATATCTCATATACCTATATTATATCTGATATTAACATCATTGCATGTAGTAACATGTAATAAAAATATATTTACTTCCTTGCAATAGTAGTAACTCTAATTCTCCTTTGTCCATTGCTATGTTGATATTGAGTAATAAATTGAATGCAGCCTCTTCCACCTTGTGGAATTGGGGCTGTATGTTGATTTACGACTTCAAAAATAATGCTGTTGTTGTAGATGGTGTCAATGAACAAAATTTCCATTGGCAAGTACCACCTAAACCTACTTCTTGCTCTCCAACACTAGACCCTTTCACTCCCAATGATACACAAGGTCCAATTGCTCCAGAAACCTTAATTTCCCGAGACGTTTTTACTTCTAAGGTGGCATTGAATGCCATTTTCAAGTCACCCTTAGCATCCTTAGCAAATACTCGTTGAAAAGTTTGTTTAAATAAAGAAGAATTAAATGAATCCCCCATCACCATATGACCACCAGTAGAATTGCAACATTGTCGCATTTCTAATAATCCAGTTTGATCAAGAGCACAGGAATAAATATCTATTATATGACCATTAGTTGCTGCGCGTGATGCAAGTGCATCGTAATGCTTAGTTGCCTTTTTCATATGCTTAGCATTATCCTTTTGAATATCGTGATGCGATCTAATCGGTTGTCGTAAATCATCAGTTACAACTTGGCCAGGTCCTTGAGAACACGGTCCGCCAACAAATAACATAATCCTTAAACACATTGATGACATAGAATAGA